TGATAATACCTGCATGGAGTCTTTTAAAACTTCTAAACCAATGAAAGTGTTTGCTGCACTCAAAACTTGGATTCATCTTCAGGAAATTCTAAGCATATTTCTTCTTCATCTTTGTGCGTGTGTGTGTGTGTGTGTGTGTGTGTGTGTGTGTGTGTTCCAAGGAGGACGAGGACGACTTCCTGTCCGGGGAGACGCCGAAGACAGAGGGTATTGTGGGAATGACACCCAGCTCGTACGAGTCGAGCCTCCGCAGCCCCAGCAGCCTGGGCTCCCCCCCGATCGCCTACCAGACACACTGACCACACACATCACATTTAAGTTAGGACTCAAACACACACTGAGGAACACGAGCCGGTGAAGAGATGACACTGATCTCTGCTCTCAGACAGGACGCTTCCTAGAAAGCTTCAGTGACTTTCAGGAAGTGTAGACCTGCTAGGTCTAACTTGACATATTTTCACAAATTGATTAACGGCAGATAATGCAGAGCAATAACTCCAATGATAGCAACAGAATCAGCGAGAGGCTAAATAAAGATTTATTTAAGTGCATACCTTTTTATTTGACACTTTAAGAAATGGAGGGGGGGCTGTTTGTATGGTCTTTTAAGTTTAATTAAACACTCCATAGACTGTTGTCGAGCCTTCCTCACTTTTTGTCTGGTTCTGTACGGAAAAAAAAGTTCAAACTGTTTATTGCGTGGGCAGCACATTTTGGCATGAGGCAATTACTTAAGTTTATTTATGAAATCATCATGATGCCTGCTGCAGACCACACTCCCAAAAACATAACTGATCCCAGACAAGAAGCTCAGTCTGCATATAAAGAGCGCTGAGCTCAGCACCAGGAGTCGCCTGGTTTGGTGAGTGTGAGAGAAGAGGAAACGGCAACCTGTCCTCAGAACAGCCTCATGGGAGATGGAGTCCCATGCATCACACAGCTGACCTCATAGCAGCGGAGATGTATGAAGGTAGATATGGTGCAAAATGCGAGAGCTTGTAAAACCTGATGTGAGCACTTGCAGAAAAACAATCTGAGCTTGTGTGCATACATTTACACTAGTATAAAATATCCACGTATCTGTGAACCCAATTTGAAGTCACAGAAGAAAAAAAAAGTTTTGGAGCTTGTAGAAAAAAAATGAACTTAGTGATGCACTTGCAGAAAAATATATTTTCCATTACAGCTGCAACTTGGTCATTACAACCACTCAAATCAGTCATTACAACTTGACGAATCTGCTCTGTGGCAGTATACAGTGGGGCAAAAAAGTATTTAGTCTGCCACCAATTGTGCAAGTTCTCCCACTTAAAAAGATGAGGCCTGTAATTTTCATCCTAGGTATACCTCAACTATCAGAGACAAAATGAGAAAAAAAAAATCCAGAAAATCACATTGTCTGATTTTATTTGCAAATTATGGTGGAAAATAAGTATTTGGTCAATAACAAAAGTTCATCTCAATACTTTGTTATATACAGGGGTGCACATAACTTTTTTGCCCTGGTTCTCAAAGGAGCACCTGGAGATGTTGCTTGGTGCTCATCCTTAAAATGAAGCAACATCTCCAGGTGCTCCTTTGAGAACCAGGGCAAAAAAGTTATGTGCACCCCTGTATATAACAAAGTATTGAGANGGATACCTATATCAATATAACAAGAGAGGAATTACTGCGACAAAAAACACAAAATAAGATAACACAGTGAACGAAGTCTTCGATCCGTTCTTAGGAAGGATTGGAGCCTTTTTGCTTCTTACAACCTTGTAGACGATTTCCACAACGTCTCCACACATATGACATACGCTCGGGCAGAACCCGCACTAGGCGGTTCTAACCCTTTACCGCACGTGTTTCGTTAACACCCTAAAATTCTGCGCCAAAAAAAAAAACGCATAAATTCAGGCGAAACCATCTTAAGGTTCATACGACATGTACACTGCAGGAAGCCGCCACCGTGAGTTACTGCAACATCGAACTTTATCAGAGAACATATTTTGTGTGTGTCTGAACCTTTTGGTACGTTGATTACTTGTTAATTTTGATGTAACTGGTACACTATATATAAAGATGTAATCGACTGACTACGTTTCATTGTGTCCCGTTCCCAAATAAACCGGAGTCGTGAAAAGCACGACCACGTCAATTAACGAGAGGTGAATGTAATGTAAAGAAGGGTTATGTTTGGTTTACAAGATTTTCGTACAATAGAAGATTTCTTGCACATGGGTTACATCATCGGAAAACACACTACACTAGGTGTACAAGTCGTTGCAGCTACTTAATAAGTTTATCTCTCTTGGTCAATCCTGTGTAGCTCAGAAGACTCACTATTCACTGCAAAACAACCGAGTGTGCAGTCAGGTCTGAACGTCGTCCGACAAGTGTACCACTAACAGGCCCAAGAATGTACAAATGACTCCTCCCGCGAAGTAGGTAACCTGGAGACGTCTCGGACCAACCAATCAACTCAGTTGAGATGCTATTTCCCTTCTCGTCATTTTCTTCCTCTTGCTAGACCACTCATTAATTGTCTGTCATTACACTTCGGTTTACAACGACGACAAAGAAGTATTTACGTTCCTGATTCATGAAGTTATCAACTTCTAACAAACTTAACTTAAACCATGAGCTTTCCATAAGAAAACTACACGATACCCATATAACACACCATACACATTTCGCTAGACAAACAAAGTTAGCGAACAGTTCTCTAATCACACGCTTTTCACAAGTGAACTTAAAGATGGGTAAGCTCAAGGCTATTAGTTATTACATTTTATGTATCATAGACGTTGAACTCCTTTTCTGAGTTGACTTGTTACGTTGTACACGTACCTACGGTTTATTTTGCAACGCTAGAGTTGAGAACACGGCTCATCAATTGAGGGTAGAAATATATTAACAGAAAGGCCCATTGCTACAAGGAATGATTAGTATCATTTTATGTGGAATCTGAACTATAAAACACTTTAAAAGGAAAAATTCAACATACGAACGCAACTCAGAACCACCATAACACCCCATCCACATCTACACTCCATCCACAACCCAAACCCAAACCCCTCCCCCACCACCCCCCCATGTAACACGTGATGACTTCTCGTAGGACGAAGACTAACGGCAACACACCCCAGCCTCACTCCGTCTCACACCCCCACTAGCACCCACGAAGCCACCCCCCAGGAATTCTTATGTCTACCACAGCGCACCCCCACCCACGCCTCCCCCCCCTATCTCCCTCTCATCTCTCGATCATCGCCGCTCCACGAGCAAACCCCCTCCCCTGGCTCCCCCCCATCACCAACACGACCACTCCACGCCTATACACGCACTACCCCACTTGACCAGGTCAACTAGATTTCTCGAGACTGAGTTGTCAGACGTGTTCAATCAGTTAAGATCCATTTTATATCTTTCAAAAAAAAAAAGTGTCAACTCATTAAGAACGTAAATTTATTGACCTGCACCTACGAGCAAGGTCAGCTCCAACAGGTTTGGTGTCGTGACTCTGACGAAACATTTACAGAAGTTACTGTAGCGTGAATGTAGCCTGCCACCGCTCTCTGAGTCAGATCAATATCAATCTAAGAGTCACACGCAACGGTGAAACTGGTTTGCTATAATGACCTGAGCCTTTAGGTAATTTAACCAACTTAGGCATATTGGGTTAACACTTCCCAGTCTCGTGTCACCGCGCCCGTATCGTCCAAGGAAAGCAGACCCAGGATTTCCTTCCAACGTAATAGGTCTGCCGTTCTGGCTCGCACACAGTTCCCCTTACCCGTCATAATCCGCTGACACACCACCATAAACCCCACACGGCGCCTTGACCCCCCCCATCCAATCCACTCCATTGGTCTACCACAATACACAACAAAAGGATGATCTCTCACCCGGCCCATCAACTCCTCCGACATGCACGCTAGGCCTCTTCGTCTTCTCATGTACAATACACAAGCCAAAAATCTACAACCACAATTTCCCACAAATATATCTAAGTTTGACATACCTGTCCGCTCCACATTCCGACATCTAACAACATCAACGTTATACCATCGTCATGTCCTTCCTTGGTAGGACACGTCCTTCCGAGTCAGGTCCTTCAGAGGCTAGGCAAGAATCCTTCCTAGCATCGGAGAATGAATTATTATTATTCATAATAATATTAAATAATATGTGTCCGAAAGGGAGCCGGAGGAAGCAAATGCTTATACCCCTTACTTACTGTTCACAGTTACGTGGATATTTTTATACAAGTGTAAATGTATGCACACAAGCTCAGATTGTTTTTCTGCAAGTGCTCACATCAGGTTTTACACGCTCTCGCATTTTGCACCATATCTACCTTCATACATTTTGGGCCGTTGTAGCGCGTTTGCCTGTGTCGGCCACCGTAGTTTGCAAATGAAAAAGCCAAGTCATATTTCTTTAAAAATGCTATGAGTAATATTTTATATTCATTCACTGTGTGTAAGACCCTTAAAAATATTTATAAAATGCCGATCAAAAAACAACAACTATGAAAGAAATCAATTATAAAAACAGAATTTATATTAAAAATAAATAGAGTATTTTAGATTTAGGTTAGGCTAAAAATACACTAATTAGTAAATACCTTTTTGTACTCTGAGGTCTTTTGAGTACTTTTTCAAGTTTATCGTTTAATGAACATAGATTAGTTGTTAAGGGCGCTGCAGATTTCTTGGGGTTAGATCTACAATCTGAGTGACCAGGAGAATCCTCAGATATTGGCCTCCTCTTCCTCCTGCTTC